ACCTAATGAGCATTAAGGTTAGGGTACCTTCTACCGCGGGGTAACCGGGCTATGGTGTATTACGGCCCTACAATCAACCAAACTGCCCGCTGAAAAACAATGGAACCACTGGACCCCTTTTGAATTTTAATACCCCCAACCTCATCTTCGTGCTTCTACCGAATGCCATTATTCTAAAATGTATCACAAACTAAGATGCTACCTCCTTAGGTTTCAACAGCAGTTGATAGCATCTGATTACGACCGTTTATGTGAAATATCGGACCGGATAAATGATATATCCATAGATCTACGACACCAAGACCATACAAGTCAAAGCCATCATCTCTCCGGTTTACATGAAAAGATGAAAGAGTGACGAAGTATATGTTTGATTAAGATTCTAACTATTAGGATTAATGGCTCTCTAGTATATAGGTGCCTATGCTGATACTACATCTCTTTAATTACAAGGCAGCGCCATAGCTGCACAGCCGGATGCCTAGGTATCTACCTAGGTAGGGAGGTAGCTTACGAAAGAGCTTTAACAATAGCCGAATAAGCCGTCTTTTCTTCATAACTTGTGTTGAAGAGAAGTGGTGAACTCTGCGATTGCCACGAGTCCTAGAGACAACGTCAGTATTGGAACTTGGGGTTTTCGGTCATGAGGGTACACTTACAGCATCGCTAACGCCCCATACTGTGATTCCGACGCACTTTTCTACCGCAAGACAAGCATTCGTCACGGTGACGTACTCATCCGCCGGAGCATTGACGATATCCAATTCAGTAATGGCAAGTTCACTCACGCCGGTCGTCGCAAGCTTCTCCAATCCAGCCTGCATGCCACTGGCACTTGGGTTGCTACCACCGAGATGACCTTGCAACCCAATGCCGTCGATCGGGATGCCGGCAGCGAGCCACTTGTTTACATGCTCAAACATTCCCGTCGTTGTCTTGGCAGATGTGCCACTTTCGAGGTGGAAATCGTTGATGTAGAGCTTCGCGTCGGGATCGGCCTTGCGTGCTGCCTCGAAGGCGATGCGCACAAAGTCTTCGCCCAGCACCTGGGTAAAGACGCAGTCACGGAGGCTGCCATCCTCGTTAAAAACTTCATTGACGACATCCTATACGCGGCATGTTAGCATTAGGCCCTCGTCCTCTCCGTCGCATTAAATATTAAACTTAGGGAGGTACATACCCAGGCACGAACTTTGCCCTTGTATCTTCCCACAACCGAGCTAATGTGGGTTTCAAGGACGCTTGTGAGCTCCGCAGCATCCGTAATTGCCTTGACATAGTCTGGGAGTTGTTGGTACCAGACGAGCGTATGACCTCTCACACTTTGTCCGTTTTGGACGGCGAAATCAACCAGCGCGTCGGCACCGGTGAAGCTGAAACCGCCGCGAGTTGGCTCGATGGCATCCCACTTCATGCTGTTTTCCGGTGAAGCTGAAACCGCCGCGAGTTGGCTCGATGGCATCCCACTTCATGCTGTTTTCCGGTGTCAGCTGCCCGAAGTCCTTCTTGATGATGGCAGCATTCTGGGACTTGGACAAGGTACCCGAATCAGCTGCCGTTCCATAGTAGAGTTTACCCTTCGCTTTGAAGAGTTCGTCGATGCTATCCGGCTTGGACCCGTCACCTGGGGTGGATGAGGGAGTGGCGGAGGCAACAACGGAGGAAGTAGTAGACTGGGTAGACTGCTGGCCTGTCGAGGTCGTGTCTGAGAGTGTCGCCGACGGAGTCGCCGTGGAAGTGATAGAGGCAGCTGAAGATGTTGAAAAAGTTGCAGATGTTGAAGTGGCTGAAGCAGACTGACTGGTTGGCGCGGCAGCTGTGGTAGTGTAAGTAATTGTAGTAGTGATCTGTGGGCGAGCACAGGGCCTGGCCACGATGCCCATGGGGCCGAGAAGGAAAGCGAGCGTTGTTGGCTTCATTTTAAGAGACCGAAGCTTGAATATGATAAAGGATGAACCAGTCAAGTTAATTGGAATTAAAGGAACGAATACGGAACAAGGCGAATAGGATAGTAAGCAACAGAAGTGAGTGGACGAGCCTGTAGCAAGGCTCGATTGCTGGTGAAGAGATGACACTTAGAGAGGAAAGAAGGAGAGTCACATTTAGATTCCAGCATCACGAACATCTCTGGTGGCGGTTAGGGAGCCTGAGTAGGTATATAATCAATTCACCCCCCCACACAGGAACTTTTCTCTGAGGCTTCGACCATGCAAATCCGGAACATGTTACCGAGCGCCTAGGTCGTATCCAGCTAACCTGCGGTTATGGGTTTCCTAAAGAGGGTATCGTATTACACGATGTCCCATCCAGTGTTGGTCTAGCCTCTACACTATCTGCTTGACAAGAACCATTCGGCGCGCTATTTGATACCCACGTCGGTATCTAACCGATGATGAGATTGAGATCTCTTTTGACACCTCTAGCTTGCTTGGTGGGGGATCGCCCCAAGGGCCATTCTCCAGTCAGCCAGTTGACTGTACCTGAAAACATAGAAGGGAATCCCAGCATGATTATTCCTATTGGACTATGAAGATTCTTAAGAAGATGGCAAACTATGCTTCGGTCATGTCAGTTTTTACGTTAACACCCATTGCCCCTATTCTATCATTGTATTTGTGGTGTTGAATACGACATCATTTAAGTCAAAGCGTTTCAGGGGGGGTTTATAGTAGCATAGAATGCGACTTAAAACTAAATCTTATAGCCCTTAGCTGCACTAGACACAGAACACAGCCACGCGCTTGAGATAGCTACAGCATTCTGTTTCATCACGTCGCTACAATGATCGGATGATAGTGAAATGGTTAGTGAAATGTACTTATGCTCACACTTAAGCAAACAGTGATGTGAATCATGATGTGTAAGGGAAAATAGTTCAAGGTGGGGATCTCACACAGCTGTCAGTCTGCTATGGTTTTCGTTTTCGGAGATTTTACTGCCTTAGCGTCTTCTCTTAGTACATGTACGATAGCTGCATCAAGATACAACATCAGTTTTGAAGCGATCGAATGCGAATTCATTACTATCGTTATGATTACTTTCAAGAGTTTATTACTCTGACTGCTCCAAAATGGTGTTTGAGACGCGGAAAATGAGATATAGCCCAACCTACAGCTAGTCGAGAATGGTACTCAAGGATGATCTAGTAGAAAACATCCATTTCAGCTTTCCAAAAGAGGAAGTAAGCTGTAGACATCATCGTGGGTGGCCCAAGCTCCCACTCCCACTATCCCGGAAATGAAGATCAGGTCAATGACATCAGAGTGATCCAGGTCTAGCAGGATGCCTACTTCAAGCTGAACCTTAGAAAGCATCTTAACCTTGAGATTAATGGTCCAGCATCTTCTAAACGTCCATTTCTCTATACTTATAGTTTACACTGATCATCATCTTCGTTGGCCATCAAGAACCTTCAGCACCTGCCAATCGTTAATAAGCGAACGACCAGGACAATCATATATATTACCTACCTTTACTTATCTAAAGCTTTTGTAGACCTTGACAACATGACTACGACTAGGTCAGGTGCCAACGTCGAGAACAAAGCCAAACCTAACAATAGTGACAGTACTGGCGCTAAGCATGAGCTAGACAAGAAAACATCGCCCTTGTCTAAGCGTATAAAGACTGACGACGGAAAAACACAACAAACTATAGAAGACACAATTCCAAGGTAACAATATCCTAGTCTCATATTACGACCACTGCTGATATCTACCTACGTAATTTAGCCCCACCGAAGCGTACGGTAATGGGAAGAACGGTGTTTGGACGAACGGAAACGAAGACGAGAAGGGAGAAGATGCCCAGAAAACTACAGAGCAGAAAGAATCAGCCGAGGAGAAAGGGGCCAGGGAAGGCGTCGTGCCGCCTAATATCTTAGAGAAGGGTATTATTTACTTCTTCATCCGTGGTAGGGTGGGCATCGATGAACCTAGCAGCGTGGACGACATTCGCCGCACCCACATCGTCCTACGCCCTCTAGATAAAGATGCGAAGCTCGGCAAAGGGACGATAAAAGATGTAGGAAACAGCCGACTAATCGCCATACCTAAGAAAGTATTTCCCCTCAGTGGTAAAGATAGGTGGATTGCATTCGTTGAGAAGTCCCATGCATTATTCCAGACCTTAAAGGACGAGTTTCTCTCAGCCTCGGATTACGCCACTAAAACTGCCGGTGTGCGACACACTCCCGCCGCTACGCCAGTGGCGGAAGGCGTCTATGTCATCACGAGCACTGGACGCGAGAACCACCTTGCGTATAAAATTACGTTGCCTAAAGATCTCGGCGAGGTGCAGAAGGAGATCGGGCTCAAGGACGACGGCAGTTTTATAATCAGTACCAGAAATCCACAATACGACCCGCCAAAGGGTACCGCCCTTCCGCAGGCCCCAGAGTATCCTCAGGAGTAAGTCTTCATATGTTTTGGTAGTCAGTCCAAATGAAAGATTCTAACAATCTTGAAGGGTCTTGGATGAATTCAGAGCGTTACGATGGACCGCAACCCAGCCTAAACATCTCGATTTTGTCAATGCCCAGTTTCTTCTGGTGGGCGAGTCTAGCGGGATCACGAAAGCCACCGAACCACAGAAAGACCAAGATGAGGGTCAAGAGAAACCTGCGGAGGAGTTAGAAAAACTAGAAGATGAGGATAGCCTCCGGATGGAGAGCTTGCAGGGAGACGACTCGGTGGCCATCTTTGCTGATCTACATGCCCGCGCTGAAGATTTTCCGAAGCTTCAAACAACGTTCTGAAAATAGGGAAAATAGTAGGACGAATGAATAAATAAGTGCAAAGAGTCAATTAGCAGAAGACGCCCAAGGAGCTAGAAATGCCCTCCTCTCTATCGCATTAGGTTTTCGAGGAGCCCCATGTACATTTCTAGTATGCTATTCTCGCAACAAATGATTAAGAGTCATGTAGGATTTTAGTAACTTACCTAGTGTCTTTATCGCAGCTCTACTGCATCATTTCATGTTTCTAGCTTCCCAAGAAAAGTCTCGATTCGTCTAGTGGTTAGGATACCTGCTTGTCATCTTTCCTACAGTGTTGATGATGTATCTAGGATTGAGTAGCGCAGGTGGCCGGGGTTCAATTCCCCGATCGAGAGGACCATGTCTTTCTTTTTTCTCGTTTCTTTTTCTCATTTCCTAAGATCCAAGAATAAGCAAATGCTCCGGCGTGGTAAGCACGGAATTAGTAATTTAAGCGTCTTTCATTCCTAAATTTTATTTGCGCTCGCGTCATTCATTACGAACCACTTCGTCTACTTCGTTCCATAAGATGGTAGTATTCCTGATACAGCGAGATCCTGTCACATCTAATCTTTAAGCGGCAAGACGGTGACCTTTGGTGTCTCCCAAATGTCCCAGTCGTATGATACTTGGGGATCGCCGAGTGGTCTTAGCGTCGCGATTCGGAACCTATTAATTCGAGTTAGGTAAACGACCACTCATTACCAATGAAAGCACGATTAAGACATACCTATAATCGCCAGGCTGTATGCTTGACCCGTTGGCGAACCGTCCCAGCCAGTAGTAAATACCCCATTTACCGCGAGGCTGATCGTACAGTGGAAATGAGAATATGTCATCCTCGCTGTCCTGTCCTGGGGTGAACCACTGTGATTCGGAAGTTCCGTTCCAGCTCGTGGCTGAACCAACATATTTACTCTCGCCAATTACAGGTGGGTACTTCCAATTAGCTTCCGTATAATCTCCCTCGAAAATCTAGGTGAGAATTTTTAGCACACTACTCAAATCTCAAGACCATCTTATTATAGCTAAGACTTACATCCCAGCGTAGCTCTTCGGTACCCCAAGCAAAGCCTGTGTTGAGTTTGGGGAAGTCCTGTGCATCGCGCGTGAGGTTAAAAGTGAAGCTAGCATGATGTTAGTCTTGCATTATATACGTTGGCTGAGAGATTGTATGAGTAGATGAAATGGTTTGCTTACTTTGACTTCTGCTGGATCCGTTGGTCAGTGACGCCAGAGTTGAGCCAAGGATAATTTCCACCATAGTCCCAGATGTTGGTTATTGTTTGGTTGAGATCGCATGCGACACCTATCTTGTGATTAATGGCCATGCTGGGTATTTGTTACTGCCGAACTGGATTAAAGTGCAGCTTACCAAAATACGGGACACCCAGTTCCTCACCGTTGTCGCCACTTATCAGGACCTTGCCGCTGTATACAGGCAGACTAGTCGTATTGAGGCCATCTGATGGGGCGATAAAAGTGAATCTACAGCTCCATCATCAGTAGCGTTCTCTAGTATTGCGTCTATTTGCTCCAAGAAGGGACATACTCGGCAGTTTTCGTCTCTCCGGGACCGACAATAAATGATTCCTCTGGGAAAGTCACCTCAGGAGTCATTTGCACCGGATTAAGCTCGTCGTAGAGTTTGAGGGAAGGGATGAAGGATTGTTGCTTGCCAGGGACAACAGGTTTCCAAGAGTCGTAGCCCGCAGCATCCTGAAGTGAGAACGTGTAGGTAACTGGTTCACTCCCACGGTTGGCGATCTCCACAGAGTGTGTACCGGTGAAGTGGGCAGTGTCATTCAGCTCAAACTTTCGACCTTCAAAACTGAGCTCGGTAGTGTAGTTCATGACGCGTTGTGCATCTATGTAACCAGCACCTACTTGGGTGGTGGGCGCCCAGAAGCCATAGTCGGCTGGGGATGTTGACCAGTCGGCCCACGGGACGGCACGAGCTGTGCCCATGATGCGTGCAGTCAACCGCTTAGCCCAAGCGGGGTCGGCGGCGTGAGCAGCGCGTCCACCGAACTTACCTACCCAAAGGGCGGCTACTCCCGCGACATAAGGTGTTGCCATGCTAGAGCCACTGAGGACTTGGTATTGGTCAGTAGGATACGTAGACAGGATCTTAGTGCCAGGCGCTACAACGTCCGGTTTAAGTGCCAGGTCGTACGTCCCACCCCACGAAGTGTATCTAGCCGGTCGACCACTACCTGCGTTGTATAGTCCGACATAATGAGCGGTATCCACGTCAAAGGAGGCGGTAACGTTCCCGCCAGCGAGGATAGTGTCGATGATTGCCTCGCCCGCACGGGCTTCAATTGCTGCTACAAGACCAGAGGCGCTGCTGCTAGCATAAGGGGTTTGATAAGGCCCGTTGTCGTTGTAAAACAGGATGTATTGTGCTCCAAGAGCAGCAATATTTGCGTGCTTCACGGTAGTATCACATCCTCCTATCCTCGCGAGCGCAATAGTGCTGTTGAAGCTGGTGGTGTTTGCTGGTAATGGGTTGCAGGCGTCGTTCTCGACGGAAGAGTTGAGTGTTACTGGCCTGATTGGCCAGCCAAGGACAGTATTCGGGAAAAAGTCAGAGGCGGGGATGTAGGCGATCTGGGTTTTGTTTGCCTGGTCGTTGAGACTAAAGTCTGCAGAGAAAGCCTGGGCAGGGAACTCTCCGGGCTCTGCGGCACCGACGGTAATGACATCTTTGCCCGAAGCACCGTTACTAGCATCAAAGGGACCATTGTCACCTTCATTTCCAGTAGCGATGGTAATGACCACACCTTAATCCACCATTCTCAAAGCTAACACAGCCCATGCATTAGAGGTGAACCCGCTGTTCTCTCCTAGACTAGCACTGATAATGTCTGCCTAAATTGAGATGTGATTTCGTGTCAAACCAATGTTCTACACATATCCAGATAGGCAGGATCATCACTTACTCCTGAGTCGAAAGCCCTGAGGAATCCTTCGATGACCGTTTCCTCGTTTGAAAAACCGCTGGACCCGAAAACCTTGTAAGAAAGGATCTTTGCACCGGGGGCGACACCAACAAACCTACAGCGCATTAGAGGAGTAGACGGGCCTTATGGAAAACCAGCTTACTGGTCACTTTTCCCAGCCAAAATTCCCGCTACATGTGTTCCGTGGCCATATTCATCCATAGGGTCGTTATCCGGCTCGGCTGGTGCATCGGGCCATGCTACAGAGAGTTGATCAGTCTCGTGCACTGCCACGGTCGCGACTTGAGGGTCAAAGACAAACCATCGCCCACAAGATCATAACCACCTATGACAGTATAATTCGGACCAATACCCCCACCAAGCTGTACGTGTCTTGATCAGCAAAGAGAATAATTGCATATACGATAAAGGGGTTGTTACCGCAGGATGAGTGTACTGGACACCACTGTCAACAACCGCGATCGTAGCTCCTTCGCCAATGATACCGGCCTCGTGCAACTTATCAACGCCTGTCGAGCCATGTACCGAGTAGTTGGCAGCAGCAGCATCGTTGCTGAAGGATTCGCCTTCGATAGCTGAGGGCAGGAGGCGCACGAGAGTCGACCGATAGACCGAGGCTACGATGGCGCTGTCCTCGCCGGCGTCCAAAACTGTTGTAAGTGATTCGGCATTGCAGTGACCGTCGCATTCGACACTCACGCCTGGAAAAAGATCAGAATCGAATTCCTTGACGACACGAAGCCCTGGAAGCCCCGCGATTTTGGCCGAGACATTCGCTCTATGCGCACGCGTCTTTAGCTCAACAATGAATCTCCTTGGAGTAGCATCATGTCCGACTTTTGCAGTGTCGTTGACATCGCGACGCGAAAAAGATTGGGCGCCCCACGCGCTGCTGGAAGCGCCGATCAGCAACGCCAGCAATGAATTACTCACGCGCATCTTGTTATCGATTTTGTCACGCACAGAGCAATGCGTGTCCTATGCTGGAGAATAGTCATCGTTGGAAAAGTAATCATCGCGATTTTATATACGGCATCAACCTCCCGCAAGAAGAGGGATGGCATTCTGCCAAGGCGAAACCATCTCGTATTTCGAGGTTGCATCGAAGTTAGCCCCAGCAATTACCACTCCGTATAATGCGAAGTTTGATGTCTTTTAATGATTTATCGCTGACCTGCCTAAGTCGCCATCCTACCGCGGCCATTGTAAAAGAGATGCTTCGCGTTAGGCTCCGGCGCAATCTACCGCTTTAGGCGAAGGACCCCCGGTGCGGCGGGTCAAGTATACCATGAAGCCATCGTATTCTCAACCGGTAGGGAAAGGAAAAGAAAATAATAGAGAGAGGACTAAACTGGGAATATTCTTGTAGATCAGATATATAAGCAAAAAAAAGGACATAATATCATATAAAGAAAGGATTAAAATTTAATCCGATTCAACCCAACCAGCCCCTCAGATCCCCCGCAAACGTATGGGATGTTGAAACTTGAAACTACTATTACCGTAGCTCTGCAAAGAGAAATTGCATAAATACCTAGGTACCTACCTACCTACCTACCTACTATGAAAAGTATTGGTGATTCTGGCTTCGTGGATACTTATAGAATTTACATCTTTCTTATATGATAGGTACAAAATGTGATTACGACTTCGAGAATGGAGTTACAGCTAAAATGGCAGGGGTTATTGCTGAGCAGCTTATGGGGCGGATCTCGATTTACATTAAGTACATTTTACATCGGGTCTACATAAATACCTAAATAAAAACTATCAATTATAATCCTCACGGTAGAATCATATCGGTGACCGGTTCGCTCCGAGATGCAGGACACATCTCGGCACGGTTCTCAGGCTCTCGCCGCTAAGCTTTCAGATCGGAAAGTAACGATGATCTTGTTGGTTGGATGTGGCGCTGACGCTCCCTTTCCATCCCACCTATCATACGATGCCGTCAGCATCATACGACAACGCCCGTCGCCAGCACCAGCGCCAACCTAGTGTGGTAGAAGAACGCAGCTTCTATTGATCAATGGTTTCTCTCTCTGAAATGTTTTCATTCGAATATGCCCTTGAGAATTCGACAAAGCCGTTATCATACCCTTTTCACCTGCTTCGTCGTCGGCTTCGTTTCCGCCGTCTTATGTATGCTGTTCTTTCGTCCCGGCAGTACCACCCTAGGACTAAACCGCATATCTAATTCATTATTCAGCACGATGACGCAGAGCGCGACAGCAACACGGAAGCCCGTGATTGTGGTGGGCTCCGGACTCGCGGGCCTATCTGCAGCTCACGAAGCGCTTCAGGCAGGGGTACCGGTCCGTATGCTGGATCGCGCGCCTAAACCTGGTGGAAATAGCATCAAAGCATCATCCGGGATCAATGGTGCCGGG